GTGGATTTGTTGAGGTTGTTGATCCAAAGGGCCGTTGGGGCTTGATCTTAGGATGAACAGATGATGAACGATGAACACTTTCTTCAAGGGCCGTCGGGGCTTGATTTTGAGTTGGTGGAAGTTCTTCAAGGGCCGTTGGGGCTTGATCTTGAAGGTTGATGGATGATGAACGATGAACGAAAAGTGCTTTCTTGATTCTTCGGGATTTGCTTGAGAGCTTTAGAGTTTCAAGGCTTCTTTCTTTCTTCCTTCTTTCTTTCTTTCCTTCTCTTTCTCCCCCCAATGCATTTGGCCTCCTATTTATAGAATTCCAAAACTTGATTTTTGGATTTAAATAATCAGATGAAATAAATCATTTCTGCCAGGTATTGACACGTGTCCTATTTGATGACTTTTCCAATTTATTTCGATTTTTCGTTGAGTCACATGCTACATGTAAAATTTATGTGATACGTGAGCGTTGAAATTTTAATTTTTGGTCAACATTTATTTCACCGAAATTTTGATGTCTACAAATGCCCCCACTTCAAGGCGTGTCGTAGACATGTGCTTGTCACGTGTAGAAGATGCGTTTTGAAGTCCCTTAATGTAGATGTCAACCCAAGGGCTGTCGAGGCTTGATCTTGAATTGAGCTGGAGATTTCTTCAAGGGCCATCGAGGCTTGATCTTGAGCTTGACTGGAAGATTTTCTGGTTTCCTCCAATCGTTGATTTTCCGCGGGCTTAATCTTGAACTGGGCTGGAGGATTCTTTTGGTCTCCTCCGAAGGTCTGAACTTACTCCTTTTATCTGGAGTTGAATTTGATTCAAGGGTTGTGAACACTTGATTTTGAATCGGACTTGTGATTTCTTCAAGGGCCATCGAGGCTTGATCTTGAACTGGGCTGGAGGATTCTTTTGGTCTCCTCCGAAGGTCTGAACTTACTCCTTTTATCTGGAGTTGAATTTGATTCAAGGGTGGTGAACACTTGATTTTGAATCGGACTTGTGATTTCTTCAAGGGCCATCGAGGCTTGATCTTGAACTGGGCTGGAGGATTCTTTTGGTCTCCCTCTATCGTTGATTTTCCTTTGTGCTACTCTTGAACTAGGTAGCATGATTCGGACACATGGCAGGCAAGCACGAGGTGGAAGTGATGACCTGTTTCTTTGTTCAATCTTTCCAATTCGTATTGAAGAGGGTAGATCGGAAGACTGACTCCAAGTGCCGTCTGATTGCTCTTTTCACTTTGCCATGCGAGTAATAACAAGGACAAAGGAAAGGACATGGAGAAAGCATGATATAAGATACCTTTGCTTTTGAAGAAGCAGCGAATGAATCAGCACATATATTTGTTGTGCTTGTCTCCACATGCTTTGATGTATCATTTTCACTTGTCTTACTTGCTCCCTTTGCAGAAGTGGTATTTCCTTATGCAGGTTTGGCATCTTCTCGTGTAGTATTTGTCCTCTGATGCAGGAGTTGAATGCAACCTTTGCATTTAAATGGTGCTTCAAAACATTACTTCTCCGCGACGATGAGTACTCGAGAGCAATGCAAGGTAAGCAACCAGGCAAAGGTTCCAGGCAATCAGTTCCAGGTCGGAAGTTTGATTTCAGGTTCCGACTGATAACTCTATTTCCCCTTCTCCTGCATGTAAGAGCAAGGACAAAGAAAAGGACAGGGAAAAAGCATGATATGAGATACCTTTGCTTTCGCCCTTGATGATATGAGATACTTTTGCTTTTGAAGAAGCGGTGAATGAATCAGCACATGCTTCCATCTACCGTTTCCTCCTGGGTCATCTGTACTCCAGGCATCTGGTATCATCTTTGGGGAAGAGGAAAAAATTGAGTATTTTGAGATGTTTTGCTGGGAGTGTACTCTCGGAGGTGAGGAAGAGTTGGGCATTTTTTTTTTCTTGTTTGCAGGTTTCCCTTGCCATAAAAGATGAAGGTCGACATATATAGGGATTTCCCAATAGCAAGTGATGGTACTGTTCTTTTACCCTCGTCGACAAACGTTTTGATCCCGCAAATCCGGCTTTTTGAAATAGTGACGACTCTTCGATCTTTGAATATGCCTCTTTGATTTCTGAACGACGCCTCTTCGATTTCTGAACGAGCGTCTCTTTTGACAAAGTGGCACGCGTTTTCTGAAAAGCAGAGAAAGCGTCGCCGAACTTTGCGCTTGTCAGCTAAAGATGTGTAGCTGCGATGATGACCTCCACGTGACCTTTTGACAAAGTGGCACCCGTGCTCTGAAAAGCCGCGAAAGCGTCGCCAGCCTCCACGTGTTTTCAACTTTGTCGGAGATCTTTTGACAAAGTTGAACGCGTTTTCTGGAAAGCCGAGAAAGCGTCGCCTAACTTACGCCGGAAAATCCAGCTTTTGAGATTTGCAGAGCGATGTCTCTTCACTTTTGAACAAGCGCCCCTTCGATTTCTGAACGAGCGCCTCTTCGTTTTTATAGAGGTATCGATCACCTCTAACATGCACACTTCGAAGGTTGCTCATTCCTGAAAATCATCTCCGGCCTTTTGAGTTTTAACTCCATCCACCCATCTCTTTTAACACCTTTGAAAAATGGCTAACCCATCGAACCTTAGCTTAGAATTGAGTCTCAGCAGTGATCCGGTTGCGCCGCTTCAAGGTAATGTATGGTGTCCTTCTTTCTTATCTTCTAACGGTCCTCTTACAGGTGAAGACTCAGTGATGCAGGACGCCACAACAGCTACAATAGTGGCTCGGAACCTCCTCACTCCCAAAGACAGTCAGCTGCTTTCAGGACGGTCTGATGAGTTGGCCGTTCAAGAATCCCTGGCTCTGAGTGTTCAGTGCGCTGGCTCTGTGTCCAACATGGGCCAACGCCTTCTTGCTCGCTCCCGTCAGGTTGAATCCTTGATGGCGGAGGTGGAGAGTCTTAAGCAGGAGATCAAACAGCTTAAGTACGAGAACCGAAGTTTGCACGTGCTTGCCAACAATTATTCGTCGGGCATGAAGAGGAAGCTTGATGAGATGCAAGAATCTCAAGGTCGCATTCAAAGTGACCGTCAAAGGCTTGCGTCTTTCTTCCAGAGGCACATTTTTCCGGCGTCATCAAGCGTTCCACCAAGTATTGGGGCCTCGAATGATCTATCTTCGTTGCTTCCCGCTCCTGGAGTTTGGCCAAGTAGTGGGGCTTCACGTGAACAACCTTTGTGAAAGCTCCATCTTTCTCTTTCTTTGTTAGAAACATTTTTTTTTTTTTTTTTCGCACTTGTAATTTCTCGAAAATCAATGAACATGCTTCGTTTTATACAGATAAAACATATACATCACCGTCCATCACCATTTTTTTTTTTCTCTTTTCTTTGCTTTCGGTGGCGCTGATCCACCATTCATTTATATATATATATATATATATTTCAGATGGTGCCAGAAGCACCACCATCGTTTTTTTCTTTCTTTTTTATTATATATATATATTTTTTTTCACATGGTTCCAGAAGCACAATCATTGTTTTTATTATACATATATATATATATATATTTTTTTTTTTTTATTATTCTTTTGAAAGATGCTTCCAGCATCATCATTGCCTTTTTTTTTTTTTTTTTTTTTTTTTTTTATTATTCTTTTGAAATATGCTTCCCGGCATAATCATTGCTACTTTTTTTTTTTATTATTATTCTTTTGAAATATGCTTCCCGGCATAATCATTGCTACTTTTTTTTTTTTTTTTTTTTTTTTTTTTTTTTTCTTTATAAGGCCATCTGCAAGGTTGAGTTCGTGGGTGAAAACCCAGGCGAGTCCGAGAGAAGACGGAGGAGATCTTTGGGTGTGAGTTGACAAACTTTGATTTTGTCAATCACATTCAAAGGCAGCAGCAGCCATGGAGGAGGTCGATGATCGAAGGGAGAAGGCCACGCTGCTCATCCTTAGAGAGAGACAAACTGCCCATACAACAGCGTGAAGATCTTACTGGGGTAGATGGCCAGAATGGAGAGCATGGACGAAGAGCTCAACGAAGACGGAGACAGCTCGGGGCTTGGTGGATTTGTCGCTGCGTTTTGGTGAGATCTCCGTTGTGTTTTTTTTTTTTTTTTTTTTTTTTGTAGTGCTGCAAATGTCTCCATCGGTGGAGATGAAGAAGGAACACTCCGCGGGAGGAGTTGACAGCGGCAAAGACGGCAAGGATGGTTGCTGCTGCAATCGGTGGAGGCGTTGACGGGCAGCGACCAAGCTACTGTTGGAGTTTGATCTCCATTTGCTTCTCCACCACTGAAGCCTTTCTACATTCTCTGCTTATTCACCCCAATGGCAGCTATCACCGCAGTATGCGTCCATCTCCTACCTTTCAAGCACATCCGTTGCGGTAGAGACGGCAAGGATGAAATCGAGGAGAATTTCTCAAGACACCCAACTTCCCCTGCACAGGAAAGCTATGGTGAACAGAGACAATGCGCCGGCCTTGATACCGGCAGGTGGCGGAGACGGCTCAATTCCGATGTGGCCGTGTCGGCTGGCTTCAGCCAATTTAGTGATTAAAACCGTCAAGGCCATGCAGACGGCGAGCTTGAAGTTGATAATAGTCCACAATCTCTTGACTCCGCCAACCCAACGGCCGAGATGCTCGACCCCGAGAGACATGAACCCCAAAATGACAGAGTTTAGCAAAAGGCCGAGCGAACCGGCTCTCACCCCCAAATCGTACAGTCGTCCTTTACCGACGTGGCCGCCGTACACCTCCTTGATTGATTCGAATTTGTTTTCCGTCGAAGGCGTTGTGCACAATATACGCTCTAAACCCAACAGGTTCAAGATTCCTTGCCAAGGTGTTCGGGATCATCAATGGGTCTCCCAGTTGCCTCGTCAGTGATGTACACAACTGATGCCATTCTTGAATTGTGAGTCCAGACTTCTCCGGCAACCACGTTGCATTTAAGGTCCGAAAGAACAGCAAAAACTTCAGAAAGCAAGCCTGGCCTGTCCCTTCCAGTCAATTCAAAAGTAGTGTGTTCTGCGGCAGCTTGGACACCCACAGACCTTCTCAAGGAAGGGAAGCTTTGTCCATCTGCTCCTGCTGCAAATCTGAAGTCCAAAGAGTGAGGTTGTCCCTCAACAGTTGCATAATTAAAGTGCTATCCTTGTACGATTCCTCTCCTAGTGTATCAAGTTCAGCAATAGCTTCCTCAAAAGCCTGTTTAGCCATGCTACGAGCTTTCTCCGAGGAGTTAAGGATCTCGTAGTAAAACACCGAGAAGTTGAGCGCCAGCCCCAATCTTATTGGATGCGTAGGCACCAAATCAGCCAGCGTAATATCCTGAGCAGCCTTGTAGGCAACCATGGTGTCCTCGGCGGCGGTCTTTCTCTCGTCGCCATTTTTGATCTCGGCGAGGTACCGATGGTAATCTCCCTTCATCTTCGAGTAGAAGACCTTGGACTCTCCGGTGGTAGCCGAAGGAACAAGGTGCGACTGCAGGAGCTCCAGGATTCCGGCGCAGATGGCGGAGAGTTCGGTCTCCACCTTGGATCTGTACTGCTTGACGAGCGCCACGTGCTCCTCGTTGCGGCGGCTTTCCTCCTTCTGCTCGATGGACGAGATTATGCGCCAGGCGGCTCGGAGCGAGCCGATGACGTTCTTGTAGGCGACGCTGAGCAGGTTGTGCTCCTCCACCGTCAGCTCGGTCCCGGCGGCGTTGTCGACCACTTCAAATTGAAGCACAGAGCAAGTATCTTCAGTCTATTCTTGATAAAGCTTGGAAGGCTTTGAATGACCAGGCCGATTCGGCCACTGGGCTTAGACTTTTAAGGACTAGCTGATTTCTATTTTTTTTTTTTAATTTTTAATTTTTTATTTCATTATTTTATTTTATTTATTTATTTATTTATTTTCTGATTTTGGGAGAACACATATACATGCATTCCCTTCCTTCTTTTTTTTTTTTTTTTTTTTTTTTTTTTTTCTTTTTTTAACCAACAACATGTAATAAATTTGACTTTCTTTAATGAAACATTTATTTATTTATTTTGATGTGACTGTACTTGAAGTTTTGAAGTTTCAAGTTGCCTACGTACTCTTCCAACGAAGAGATCAAGTCATAACGTAGTTCAAATGAGTGATGGTTTTGATGATGATTTTGATGATGATTTTGCCGTACACAGTTTATGCTCTTGCGGGCCAGGAGCGTTTGTTGTCGCCTTTTATGCTCGTGCGGACAAGGAGCTTTGGTCGTCGCCTTTTAGGCTCGTGCGAACGAGGAGCTTTTGTGAATTTGTCAAATGATCTTAGAGAAGCATTCCTCGCAATCTTTATAGCAAGGAGTCTTGACTGAGTGATTGAAGAAGTCTTTGGGGAAGAAATCGCGCATTGTGATTCCAACGGACGATCTTTGTGTCATAACTTCATCATTCTCAATACTTTCATGTAGCTTTGAAGGTTGACGGTAGCTGCTTTGCCCCCTTTCCGATTGGTGAACTTGTGGAGGAGACCCATGTTTCTTGTGCATTTTCTTTGGAGTGACATAAGTCCATCCTTCAACTTCACTTGACTTGACTGACATGGTTTTGGAGCATGCCCCCAGCGGTTGAGGTGAAGATTTCGAGTTCAAAGAGCCAGAAGTGACGGTGGTATAGTTTGACTTCACCACATCATTAAGATCTAGCTCGATGATCCCTTTCTGAGCCAACTTCATGATGAGATCCTTTAGCACAAAGCACTTTTCCGTCGGATGACTAATGAAGCGGTGGAATTTACAGTACCTTGGACTGTCAATACGGTTCATCTCTTCTGGCCGTTTGCACTCAGGTAGGTCGATCACCTTTTTGTCAAGCAAGTCTTTCAACATGGCAACCACGTCAGAGTCGGGGAATGGATAAATCTTCTCCTCAAGCTCCTTCAAAGTGCGTCTACGTATCTCTTGATCATGAAAAGCTTCGGTTTGAATCGCCTTGCTTCGTGTAGGGATTTTGACTGGAGTTGTGTTGACCGTCATTGCTTCCTTGGTGGGTTTCCACGTAGCCTTATCCACCTTTGGCCCCAAAACTTTGTCATTCTTGTAGTCGGCGATTTGTTCTTTCTTCCCATGACGGGTGATGCTTAACTCCATATCATGGGCGCGGGTGGCTAACTCCTCAAATGTTCGTGGTTTGATGCCTTGAAGGATGTAGTGTAGTCCCCACTGCATGCCTTGAACGCACATCTCAATGGCAGAGGTTTCAGAAAGCCGATCTTTGCAATCCAGACTTAAAGAACGCCATCTATTTATGTAGTTGACGACAGGTTCATCTTTCCACTGTTTCGTGCTGGTCAGCTCTAGCATGCTTACAGTACGACGAGTGCTGTAGAAACGGTTGAGGAATTCCCTTTCTAGCTGGTCCCAACTGTTGATAGACTCAGGTTCGAGGTCAGTGTACCAGTCAAAAGCGTTACTTTTTAGTGAACGCACGAACTGTTTAACGAGGTAGTCTCCCTCTGTCCCAGCATTGTTGCAAGTTTCAATGAAATGGGCGACATGTTGCTTCGGGTTGCCTTTTCCATCGAACTGCATGAATTTTGGGGGCTGATAACCCCTTGGCATCTTCAAAGCATCAATCCTCTTGGAGTAAGGCTTTGAGTACAGTATGGAGTCATGCGAGCTTCCTTCGTACTGTGTCTTGATAGTGCTTGCAATCATCTCCTGTAGTTGCTGGATAGAGAGAGATCCCATGGATGTCGTGGCTTGGTCTAGCTTCGGCTTCTCTTCGACTTTCTCCACTGGTGGCTCCTCCTCTTCGTCGCCTTCTTTCTTTAATAGGCCAACCATTGGGTCGACTTTCATGTCGAGCAGCGCATCTAGTTGGTTGACAAGTGCGGCAATCTGCAAGTCTTTCTCTTCCACAGTTCGTGTGAGCTTTGCGATTGCTTCATTCATCTGAGATAGCTGCTCCTCGATTGAAGTTGCTCCCGTGGTCATGACTTGCATGGTTGTACTGCTGCTCGAATCAGCGTCGGAGAGTAGGGACTCTGAGTATTTCCTCGGGCTTTCCCCCCTTGATGCCCTTAGCGAGGCCAGGGTGATCACAGGCTCGTACCTCAGGTGCTCTTGTTCCTTTGACAGAGTTAATGCAGGGGCGGAAGCCGCGGCAAAAAAATCTCTTGCCTTACTTCGGGTTATGATGCCCGAAATATCACCACTTGCGGCGATGATGTTTTTGTTCTTTGCTTTGATTGCAGGAACAGCTTGATCCTTTCTTGATGCCATTTGGGTTTTTCGATGATTTGAGGATAGAGATGAGAGGTAGAGAATGTCCCACTGGGCGTGCCAAATTTGTAAACACGAGAAATTCCTGAAACAAGTGACAAGAATACGTGTACAAAATATATTTTTTGTATTAAAGATTTTGGGGTTACAATCTCTTTGTAATTTGGTCCTTTGATTCTATCTTCGTAGGATGTTGGTTTGTGGATGAGTTGTTGATCCAAAGGGCCGTCGGGGCTTGATCTAAGGATGAACAGTTGATGAATGGATCTTCAAGGGGCGTTGGGCTTGATCTTGAAGAATGGGTGTATGAGTTTGTTGAGGTTATTGATCCAAAGGGCCGTTGGGGCTTGATCTTAGGATGAACGGATGATGAACGATGAACACTTTCCTCAAGGGCCGTCGGGGCTTGATCTTGAGCTGGTGAAAGTTCTTCAAGGGCCGTTGAGGCTTGATCTTGAAGGTTGATGGATGAGTGGATCTTCAAGGGCTTTTGGGCTTAATCTTGAAGAACGATTGGATGTGTGGATTTGTTGAGGTTGTTGATCCAAAGGGCCGTTGGGGCTTGATCTTAGGATGAACAGATGATGAACGATGAACACTTTCTTCAAGGGCCGTCGGGGCTTGATTTTGAGTTGGTGGAAGTTCTTCAAGGGCCGTTGGGGCTTGATCTTGAAGGTTGATGGATGATGAACGATGAACGAAAAGTGCTTTCTTGATTCTTCGGGATTTGCTTGAGAGCTTTAGAGTTTCAAGGCTTCTTTCTTTCTTCCTTCTTTCTTTCTTTCCTTCTCTTTCTCCCCCCCTCAAAATGAATGCATTTGGCCTCCTATTTATAGAATTCCAAAACTTGATTTTTGGATTTAAATAATCAGATGAAATAAATCATTTCTGCCAGGTATTGACACGTGTCCTATTTGATGACTTTTCCAATTTATTTCGATTTTTCGTTGAGTCACACGCTACATGTAAAATTTATGTGATACGTGAGCGTTGAAATTTTAATTTTTGGTCAACATTTATTTCACCGAAATTTTGATGTCTACAAGAGCATTTGTAAGTTGAAATATCTTCGGGATTTTAGTCTCATTGCGAGACTTAAATCTGAGTGGAACCAAAATTAGGAGCATACCTGCAAGCATCAAACAAGCTTCTCGGTTGTATGCACTCGACTTAATCGGGGCTTCAATCTTTGAATTATATTTCTAATGTAGGATATTTGAATTCCTCTTGAGCGAAAAGTGATCAAACAGATAAATTTGGAGTGATTCCAATTGAAGGATGTTTGTGAGTCTTTCAAGATGATTGTATCAAAGTTTCAGATTTTTCTACTAAGCCGTTTGACTGTGGCAATGAAATAAAGGCCCAGTGCGCAGCTTTCTCAGAATGGCGTTTTTGGACGTTTTGGGCATTTTGGAGGTAAAGATGACATATTTTGAGGAAGATTCCTTCTAAGGATTTGTTGGGGACGACTTAAATTTTCCAAAGACACCTTCTGGGGCCAAACCGGAGTTGATTTGGTTGGTCAAAAGTTTGATTTTCTGATAAGTCCGAATTTCAGTTCATATAAGAAACCTTGTATTTTCTAGTTATCTTATTCTATTTTTTTTTACTAATTTTTAGAAGACTTTTTCTAGGAAGGATTTTATTTTGTATACAGAAAATATGGCTGCAAGAACTCAGGTCTACAAAATGGAAGGTAAACCAAGTTCCTGCACTGCATTAAAATTCTACATGGTGTGATGTCTCTGAAAATCAAACGGATCTGTGGATGTTGTCTGTGAACATGCATGCGTCTAACTGATGCGATTTTTCTTTTGTGCTTGAATGCCATCCATGTGATGAATGCCTAAGCAAAGCACTCGTAGGAATCTGAGTACTGAGAATGGATATCGGCCTACCTCTGCGCTGCTTGGTCTACCCCCAAACTTGCATGTAATTAAACTTTTAATAAAATGTGAGGGGGTGATTGAGTGGAGGGGGTTTCCAAGCAGCATAGAGGCCTTCGCAGCAACCACATTGTACGCATTCCTGAATCCTTTTTTTTTTATTTTTTTTTCTTCAGTTTCATCACTACCTAATCTCATGAATGTAGAGGAATGGATGATGAATGCGCTGAGTTGAATGTATGAATGTTGCTGAATGCATGATTCAGTCGAATGATCGATTGGAATTCAACCTGCAAAAGATCACAAATTTAAACTCGGATTAGAATAAAACCCAAAATAAAATACTGAAAAATAAAAATAAAAAAAAATTGCTCTTTTGGTGCTTTTTCAATTTTGTTTTTGGGTGTTTTTTGTAATTGAAATAAAAGCAAGAAAAGAAAATAAACAAAAATAAAAAGAAAAGAGTTAGAAAATTGGGTTGTCTCCCATTTAGCTCTTTAGTTAGACAGAGCGGAAGGCTAGTGATCACGTCACTTGTTCCTTCAAAGTCATCCACTCTTTAATAGCATATAGGGCAACAGTAGGTACGGATGTGTGTATTACAACAACTACATTATTGTATAATGTAATAAACAATCCTAGGTCAATCCTTAGGTCATATAACACATTTCTAAAGTTGGACACACCAAAAGTAAATTAATGGCCTGATAACATAACTCTCTCAATCTCACTATCTGTAGTATAAATCTTTCATCTACTTATTTTCTACCATTTTAACATCAATTCCGCATCGCTTTTGTCTAAAATAGCGTTCTCAATTGCACTATTCGTGTTGCCCATGGAACGGGGTCTCGATGTTGACTTTATTCACTCTTTTGCCATTATGCATTTCCGGCTTGGGGTCTCAAAAGTTCGGGTAACAAGATTGCCTTAAACTACCTTAATCACAAACAATGTAGGTTGCAGCATGTTGCAACAAATGATAGAGGAATTAATTAAACAATCATGCAGCGCATCAGATATGGAGATCAGCGTTCTAAGGTTAAGAAGCAATCATAACAACGCTAACTTGCTGCAATGGGATGTCAGGATGTACAGAATTGGAGCACAAAGAATGAAGTTCGCAAAATTAAGCAAGTAAAAGATCAGATGTAATCGTAGTTTTACTCTTCTTTTTTTTTATCCCACCCTTCAAATGCCTCATTTCTTTGCCTTTGCAAACCTGAGACACCGATACTTTTCACCACTGACAGTGATTTCAAGTGCCCCGTCTTGGTTATCTTGATTTGATGCAGTTCCCATTAGAACACTTTTCTCCTTTTCGAGGTTTTCTTTCTCTATTTTCAGCCTTGCTTCTTGTCTGGCTATCTCTGCCTGCAACAAAACAATGTTTGATAAGGCTAAAAAAACAAAACAACGGTGCATCATGTCCAAAATTTAGCAAATGTAAGCACGCATTTTGCTAAAAACTAGTTACTACAGGGATGATTGCTCACAAAACAAATAGTTCTCTGCCGAATTTCCCAAGAACCAGTGTAGATAGAAATAAACATACAACACGCTACACAGAGGATCACACAGCACTGCAATCAGTTAAATTTAAAAGTAAGAAAAGTTCCCAGATATTGCAATAACAATTAAAAAAAGAAAAAAATGCAGATAATTGGGCATATTTGTGCTTTGCTTAACTAATCAGAGCAATTAAATCTAAACTTCAAGTCTGTTATTCTGCATCTCAGATGCAACAAAAATTAAACCTCCAATTGGGTTCATAGATATAAACAAAAAAAGTAGCAAAATTGATAGTGCAAACAAACAAAAAAGAATCTCATGACAACAAAAAATTGAATTCAAACCAGAAAATGAAATCGAACTCGAACTCGAACTCGAGGCGTTTGACGGAAAAACTGAGCGAACAATGTTCATGAGACTCGAATTAAACGTTAGAAAAATTAGCATCTACAAGCACACATTTTGCTAGTGATTAATTACAGGGTGACTAGAAAGAACTAGTGATTAGCAACTACACGAATAGCTCTCAGCTGAATTTCATAAGAACAAGTGTAGATTAGAAAGAAACATTCAAAATGATACACAGATAGTCACAGAAAAATCCAGCATTCCTTGATTATCTAGTACCCACATAGCATTGAAATCAGATATTGGGAAGAGAACCCAGTTTAATGTGAACTTGGTGAGGTTGGCAAGTAGCATTAAACATCAAACAAAGTAGAAACTGCAGGCAATTAGGCATATTTGTGATTGCTTAACTACTCAAACCAACAAAAAAAAAAAACTCAACTTTAAACGTGTGCCTCTGCATTTCTGCTACACCAAAAATTGAACTTCGAATTGGGTTTTTAAATCAAACAAAAAATGGGAAATTGATAATGCAATAAAAGAGAGATACCCATGATGAAAAACTTGAATTCAGACCATAAAATGGGATTGCAATCAAGGTGTTCGAAAAAAGGACTGAATGAAAAAATTGGATTGAAGAGAACAAGAATAGAGTACGAATAGGACCTCACGGCGAGAGAGCTCCGCCTTCCAAGCAGCTTCGCGCTCGGCGACCTCGCGTTCCCGCTCTTCGATGTAGCTCTGCATCTCTCGCTCCTTCATGATTCTATCTTGGATATCGGCATCCAGAGCTTCCTTGAGCTCCTGGACGAACTTGTCCACCACCAGTTTGATTCTCAGAGACATCTCCTATTACCAAAGGCACGAGTCTAATTGCTGAACCCTAGCGCGCTCACTGAGTCATCGACACGGTCTCTACCTCGGTTTCGGGACTTAGGACGACGGTCCGGCTGGGCGGCGATTGCCGAAGAAGGAGACAAACGAGGATTTAGAACTTCTTTCGCTTTGCTGTCACGTCTCTATTTTGGTTGTGATTTATGTGAGCACTTGCCCATTCTCCATCCCTTCGCAACTTAAACGGTGCGTATTCTTCGAAAGACAAAAAATAAAACCTCTTGTCCACTTGTAGTATATGTACATTTTTTTTTTTCGAGAATAAAATTTGATTAATGAAAAGGAAAATACAATTTGTACTAGAAATGCCTAAACCTTTACAGAACATAAAGCTCTATACAATGAAGCAACATATAAAATAAAAGACATGCTAAAAAATGAGAGTTACAACTCAAGCGACAAAGGGAGACCCACACAGATTTAGGCCCATATGCAACAAAAGAAAAGATAACAATAAAACTCTAATCTCCAACAGCCAAAAACCAGTCACCATTGCTGCTACCACCGCTACCTCCACGAAGGAAGACATCACACAATGCACCCGAACCAAAAACTAGATTTGAGAGTATTATGCATAATCAATCCACCAAGAACCAAAGCCTCCACAGTTACACGAGCAAGAAAAGTCACAAAACGTAACAGAAGGAGGGGGAGGGCGAAGGGGGATGTGTAAAACACCCTTGTTCTGACGTGAATCGTTTCACACTTTGTCCAATTTTTCGGGCAAGCCAGATAAATAATGGATTGTGTGAATTGGGTCTTGTGTCAAAATAGAGCCCACTCCGAGATCTAATTCATGGTTATGGGTTGGAAAAGATGAGGGGCAGCAAGAGGGAGGTAGGAGAGAAAGGTGTGATGTGGAAGGAGGAAAGGGTTGGTGGTGAGCGGCAATTGAGTGAGGAGAGGGTACAAAACTGAGACATAAGCTCTAATAGTTGTGACAAAGTTCGGAGGAAATCATAGATAAAGAAAAAGGGAGGAAGAGGATAAGGAAAAGTAGAAGGAAGCAGGAAATATTTGAGGGCTGCCACAGGCCCTGAAGCCCGGCTGAGCAAGGTTTTCCTTTTGGGGCTTTTCTTTGAGAGAGAGAGAGAGAGAGAGAGAGAGAGAAAGGGAGGTAGTACACGTACATGTATGCTTCTTTTGGGACATATTCTTATTTGAGGACTTACTGTATAGTTCGAGAAATGAATGATAAATGTTGATTTGAAAAATGATTTCTTTGTTTTTCACTGTTTATTTTCCTCATTGCTCAATAGGAAGAAGTCAAGATTGAATTATGTTATAGCATATTTACTTAGAGTAGGAGAAACCATAATGAGGGTGGAGATTCTAATTCTTGAATATTCAGGTATTAATATGTGTTGCAACATGAATGCCGCATAACACGTACTTGTTGCTAAACGCAATAAAAGTCATGAATTAGAGTAAAATACTCATTTCAATATTTTCCAAGTAAATAAGTATGTCGTTAATTTCAAGTTTGTTTTAAAATGCTATTATGTAAAACGTTTTAGTTTAGTTACGCTTTTATTATAAAAATGTAGAATACCCATGCTAACTCTAGACACTTCTTAGAAGATTAAGTTCACATAAAATGGTAGAGCCGGACAATTGAGATGGAACGCCACTAAAGTTTCTTTTACGTTCGATACAGGTGATATAATTTCAGACGTATAAATAAATATTCTTAATCGACCATAAGTTATTAAACCTCTTGCAAATTGCAGTAACGTTGTCTCTCTCACTTTGTGTCACAAAGCGATGTTAGCTCAAAGTGATGAAAGTGAGATGGAAAATAGCTTAGGATTAGGCTAATGCAAACGCAAAGAGTAGGGTTCTCCCTTCGTGTTCCCTGTTCTCAGGATGAGAGCCATCCCTATCTCCAAGTTGAAATGCAAAGCGCTGCAACCATTTTCACGTCCTTGCTTTCACATGCCCAACGTGACGGAGTCAACACCCTCCACTCTGGTCCAACAATTCACCAAATTCTGCTACCAGAGAGACCTCCCGAGAGCCATGACAGCCATGGAAGCCATGCAAAGGCGCGGACTTTGGGCCGACTCCGTCGTCTACTCCGAGCTTGTCAAGTGCTGCTTGGCTCGGCGAGCTGTTCAGCAGGGTAAGCTCGTCCACAAGCACGTTTTCTCAAATGGGTACCAGCCCAAGACCTTCTTAATCAACGTTTTCATCAACATGTACGTGAAATTTGCTCTCTTGGAGGAAGCGCAGGAACTGTTCGACGAAATGCCTGAGAGAAACGTTGTTTCCTGGACGACTATGATATCGGCATACTCGAATTACAAATTCAACCGCAAGGCCTTGGAGTTTTTGGTTTTGATGCTCAGAGAAGGTGTTTCGCCTAATAGTTTCACGTATTCTTCGGTTTTGAGAGCTTGCGACGGGTTGTTAAATCTCAAGCAGCTTCATTGTTGTATTTTTAAAGCTGGGTTGGAATCTGACGTCTTTGTTCGGAGTGCTCTCATTGACGTTTACTCGAAATTGGGTGAGTTGCATAATGCGCTAGGTGTTTTCAATGAAATGGTGTCCGGAGATTTGGTCGTTTGGAACTCTATCATTGGAGCGTTTGCTCAGAACAGCGATGGTGATGAGGCTCTGAACCTTTTCAAGAGGATGAAAGGGGCTGGTTTTTCAGCTGAAGAGGCCACGCTAACGAGCGTTTTGAGAGCTTGCACGGTGTTGGCGCTTTTAGAATTGGGAAGACAGGTTCATGTTCATGCTGTGAAGTATGGTCAAGATCTAATTCTGAACAATGCACTTCTAGATATGTATTGCAAGTGTGGGAGTTTGGAAGATGCAAACTCTGTTTTTACCAGGATGGAGGAGAAGGATGTAATCTCTTGGAGCACAATGATTGCAGGGCTAGCACAAAATGGTTTCAGCCAAGAGGCCCTGAGATTGTTCGAGCAGATGAAAGTTTCGGGGATGAAACCAAACTACATCACGCTTCTTGGGGTTATGTTTGCTTGTAGTCATGCTGGTCTTTTAGAAGATGGGTGGTACTACTTCCAGAATATGAAGCAGCTTTTCGGGATTGATCCTGGAAGAGAGCACTACGGATGTGTAATTGATCTTCTTGGAAGGGCCGGGAAGCTTGACGAGGCAGCTAGGTTAATACAAGAAATGGAATGTGAACCGGATGCAGTGACATGGAGGACGTTGCTTGGTGCCTGCAGGGTTCACCGGAATGTAGATCTAGCAGCACATGCTGCCAAGCAAATTCTTAAAACGGACCCTGATGATGCCGGAACCTACATTTTACTATCGAATATATATGCCAATTCTCAGGGATGGGAAGATGTGGCAGAAGTTAGGAAGAGCATGAAAGCTAGAGGGGTTACTAAAGAACCTGGGTGCAGTTGGATTGAAGTGAACAAACAGATTCATGCTTTTATCTTGGGAGATGACTCACATCCACAAATAGATGAGATCAATAAGCAGCTGAGCTTGTTGATTGATAGACTAATGGCAGTGGGTTACATTCCTGACACGAATTTTGTTTTGCAAGATCTTGAGGGAGAACAGAGGGAAGTTTCGCTTCTATCCCACAGCGAGAAATTGGCGATTGTCTTTGGTTTAATGAGCTTGTCAAAGGGGAAGACTGTTAGGATCAGGAAAAACCTAAGGATTTGTGGAGACTGTCATGTATTTGCAAAACTTGTAGCAAAGATGGAGGAGAGAACTATTGTGATAAGAGATCCCATCCGGTACCATCACTTTCAAGACGGGGTGTGCTCTTGTGGGGATTATTGGTAGAAGAAGATGAGGTTTCATAAGTTCGAGACATGATGAACTTCAGTATTCTCATTTATCATCAATGCGCTGAAGCTCTAGCAGCGGGTGAATTGCAAAATGCTTCTCTCTTTTTTTCATATTCATTTTGTCCAGTTGGGTTGAAATTTGAACGGTTTTCCTGGCCCTTCAGAAAGTGTGGCAAGAAAGGAGTAAACTCCGGATTGCAGTCTTGCAGAGCTGATACAAAAACATAACGAACCTAATGACGAGATGGAGAAGATCCTAGTTCAGAAGGATTGGACACCTCTGTGGTCTACTGATCTTGAAGGGATGGTGAATGGTGCGGTGGAGATGCGCACTGCGCGTTCCTTGGGGTTGATCATGTGTAAATCGATGGCACATGCAGCTTATGCACACGGTGGTTTGTGAGTCCTTTAGTCCTCCAGCATCGCCAATGTTAGTTGATCATACTAACGAGATATAAAAAGAACTTCTCAAATGTAATGACCTCTACGGATTTTGATCCAAATATAAGTTGACTAACGTAACTTTGGTTTGTCATGTCGTATTCGGGCCCGTATTATATGAATTCAAAGAGAACGAGAGTTACAAGACTTGTTGAAAGCAGCGAGCGCGGTCCGAATTTTGCAGCTTAACGTCGTTTAATTAATCAAAATGGGGTTTTACGGTAGATGTTTTCACTATTTTTTATTATTTGTGCATATTTTTCCTATTAGGACACTTAAAGGTTTATAAATAGGTTGTCTTGGGCTTTCGTTTGTAGTTTTATTCATATTATCGATTAAACTTTAGAGATTTTTTATTTCAGTGAATTTCAAATTGTTGATGGAGTTTAGCTTATGTTACATAAAAAAGAAAGTCCAATTTCATATGTAGTAACATGGCTAAATATAACCACGTTATGTTATGTGACAATGCGTTCTATTCCGCCTAAGCTGGGATTCGAGCGAAGATCCAAGCTTTTTTATGTTGCTTATTATGGAAAGATTGCCATATGAAAGCATCAAGGAGATGGTCATAGAGCGAGTTGTCGAATAGTATGATTAGCTGACGTAGAAAAGATGTGAAAGTGATTTCGTTTGGAAATTAGATCCTCTCTGGATTTTTCACTGGATATACGGGGAATCAATTAATATCAACTGTTCATAAAAAATCCTGTGGCTACAATTTTTCTCTTTTTTTTTTATTTTTAACAGCAAAGTAACTTTGTTTTGTGTGAAAAATATAAAAAAGAAAAAGTTGTGGCCACACGATTTTTTATGAACGGTTAGTATTAACTGATCTCTAAGATCCCTAGTGAGGAAATCTAGAGAAGATCTAATTCCTTGTGTTTGCACTTTGAATATGGCTTTAACCAATACTTGTACAGGCAAGCAAGTAAACTTTTCTCTTTCTCTGCCATGAAGACAAGGATTTGAATCAACAATCAAAGATGATCAAATGAAAAAGTGAAAGGAAATAAAAATAAATGAGATTGAATTAATTTAGTTGTGAGAAAATAAACTAAATTAAGGGACATTTTGATATAGATACCTCGTTTTTCAAATTTCTTCTAAGAATTTTATTAAACATTTTTTCTAGAATTTTTGTAGAGATACATTTGATTCCTATAATATCGGTACGTTTGATTTTATGGTACATTTAGATTTATGACACATTTTATTTATTGGTACATTTAGAATTTAAACATACCAAAAGTCGGTACATTTATTTTCAAATGTATCATAAGTTAAATTTAAACAAATTAATGAAGTTTTCTTATGTATTAATGACTTTTTTCAATGAAGCAAGTGACTAATTAAATACAGGATAATGCTAGTAAGATTAAATTTGTACACCAAAGTTGCAAACTAAATGATGTTTCGCTTATAGCAATGAGCATGTCTATCAGCATCAAAGTAATAATCAAATCATCAACTTCCATGTTATTTAGTTTACAAATTTAGTCTCTCTAACTTTACCCTTAAATACAATAACAGAAATGAAAAGTTATTTTTTTTAACTAATAATGAGGAATTAGTTAAATTAATATTTTTGGTAAAGCCATGAATTTAAAATTCCTAGATTGTAGAAAATTAGTTGTTAGTTAGCTTAACTGCTTAAGTAGATATATATTTAATAAGGGTAATGTTAGGAAAATCAAAATTTTAAATCAAATTTTATACATCAAATGATGTGGTTGTTGATGATTTGCTTATTAGTCAAGTGTTGATTAATGTGCTTATTTTTTATTAGTAACACATCATTTGGTTTAAAAATTTAGTCTCCCTAGCATTATTTATTTAATAAATAAAAAAAGGATGGCAATTGATCAAAGTATTTCAATCAAATCTTGTAAATCAAATGATGTGCTTGTTGATAATTGAATAATTAGTCAAGTGTTGATTAACGTGCTTATTTCTCGTTGATGACATATTATTTAGTTTAAAATTTTGGTATTCCTAGCATTATCCATTTAATAAATAAAAAAAATGATGGCAATTGATTAAAGCATTTCAATCAAATTTGGCAAAACAACAGATGTTTAGAGTAAACAAATTTAAAAAAAAAAAAAAATGTAAGGGATTCTAATTGCTTCTTAAATTAAAGACAAGTGCATTGGAACATGAAGGCAAATTTAAACAAAAGTAGAGAATTGGATGAATTAAATTGCGTAAAGCTAAACGAACTGAAATACAATGCGTAACCTAAATTGCATATTGTAACGAAATTAAAATATAAGTGCTCGAAGTATTTAGATAGCAGCTGCTAAGTAATCTCGCCGTTGAATTTGTAACGCCTCGCCTCAAGATTCGGTTTTCCGAAAGACGAAGCCACTTGTTAATGCAAAGAGACATCTCTTGTTTGTTATACACAAGTAACATGAGATCTATCTTCGTTGATGTCTTCGCATCATAGCTTTTGAGGCAGCACATAGGAATCTAAAACGTCAAAAGTTTGAGGGTTACGTCAAATTGCTAGAAAGATTTGGGACGGTATGTATTCCAATTTACTCCAAAAGTCATGATCTGTGGATAACTATCCATTTTGAAGGAGAACATTCATTTTAGATGCATAGTTAGGGGCATTATGCGACCATGACTTTTCAGGGCCGAAGTAAAGTGGATCAAAATGCGAATACCTCAGACGTCCGGTTATGGATTTAACCGCTTCTGCATCAAAGCTACACAGATAGAGCAGCAATGTTACCATCATCATGTTTCAGAGCTATGGAGCGAAGTCCAACAACTTCGTTGAGATGCTTCTTCTGCAAGATACAAAAACCTGATTCAACAAGGAATTAGTCATGTTTCCTATATTCTTGGAATGCTTACAATCTAAGGATTGCGTATGCAAAGTAATTATACTCCTAAAATGATGCAATATCTACTTCTAGATATCCTTTGTGATTCTCCTAGTTTAATACAGACTCCATATCTCAAAATGACTCTATCTCGACTGATATAAACACACTCTTTTAGAGTTCGTCTCTGATAACGCAATTTTAGCACACTTACTCTTTTACCTGCTGTTTGAGTCTCAAATATTTACGTACTAACTTGATAATGGAAGAGCGTTTGGCATAAACCCCCTCAGGTCCTTAGCTACTTACCGTTCTTTTACAACTATTCCACCAACGTGCGAATTTAATTCCAACAATTAGGTAATGCACAAACAAAGCCTTTTGGAAGTTGGTACCAAATAAAAAATGGGTAGAAACTCATGAACTTTGACTCACTTTTATTTTTTATACATTCATCTCGGTTTGTCACTTATCTTGAAACCTGATTTCATAATTATCTTAGTTGTCCTTTTATATCCATTGATAACCACTGAAGTTATTTGTTAAATAACGGAAACCAATTACGAATTGTATATCAAATTGCTTTGGGTGGTTTACCAATGCCTGAAATCCGATCGCCGAATCTCATGTTTTGTGTTCTGGGTTTCGGTGTTTATTTTCCTATCGATTTTTTTGTACATATGCAAGTTTTTCTAAATTTAAAAAAAAAAGCCCTTTGTCACATTGGTGAAAAGGTGTTGTGTCCTTGTATCACGGCTAGTGTTCGAACCCTATCGATGGTTAATCTAATATCTAACTTACTAACATGGAGATTGACATGATGATAAACCGGGGATGGAGAAGGTTGCGGTGGATTATTTCTCAAAATTATTTAATACAAATGGGTGAGAGAACATGGCTGTGCTACTTGAGAATATTGCCCCTAAAGTCACACCTGAAATGAATGAAGACCTTATGCAACCTGCTACCGATGAGGAAATCAAGTCCACAATTTTTCAAATGCACCCTACGAAGGCTCCGGGTTTTGTCAGAAACATTGAGGGATTGTTGGTGTTGATGTCTGTAATAGAGTCAGGTCCTTACTGCAGTCAGGGAAATGTTACAGAAAGTGAATTTTACGCAGGTGACTTTAATTCTGAGTCATCCTTGGCCTATCAGTTTATGCAATTTATTATATAAGATTGTGGCCAAGGTACTTACAAATAGATTGAAAAATATAGTTTAGTGGCTGCAGAGATTGCTCATTACATGCATAAACGTACGTCTGTCTGGGTGGAATGGACTTATGGCATTAAAACTTGACATCAGTAAGGCGTATGACCGCCTTGAGTGGAACTTTTTGGAGGAAATGATGCAAAGATTGGGCTTCTTAGCGGAATGGATTCAGTTGATTATGGTTTTATCAATTCCATATCATATTCTTTCAAGATTAATGGAGAGCCGGTGGGCTATGTTCAACCTAAAAGAGGTATTCGGCAAGGTGATCAACTTTCGCCATTTCTGTTTGTGATTTGTGCGGAAGGTCAATTGGCATTGCTCATGAAGGAAGCTGTGAGGGGAAAATGGACTAGAGTTTGCCGAGATGCCCCCATGATTCATCACTTACTCTTTGTGGATGATAGTTTCTAATTTGCTCATGGGACGCTTGAAGAATGTGGTAATATTAAACGAGTGTTGAGGACGTATGAAGTGGCCTCGGGTGCTGCACAAATCACGAATTCGTGAGGCACCACTTACTAGTTTCAGAGCATGGATCTTGGGTGCTGCACAAAATATGTCCAAACAGGCTTTTGAATTAAGCCTCATGTTGGAGTCAAGTATATGGAAATGCATTATTTTGGCATGGAAAGCTTCCACTCCCCAGGTGGATCAACTAAAAATAAGACACGACAACGGTGGACTAAACCAAGTTCAAGAGGGTTGAAGTGTAACTTCGATGGAGCGTGGAATGAAAGGTCACAACGGGGAGGATACGGTGTGGTTATACGTGACTGGGTGGGCAGCATTATTGCTGCAGTTTCTGGGCATTTCTGAAATGTAGCTTCGCCACTACATGCTGAAATGCTTGCGGCTAGACGAGCAGCAGAGCTTCTAGTGGAGTTCCAAACTGCTAATTCAAATTTGGTTTTGGAGGGAGACTCGAGTGTTGTGATTGCAGTGGTGAGTCATTCAGAGATTGATTGTTCCTTCTTGGGACCTATAATTAACGACGTTAAAGAAGTTATACAAAGCTTGGATGGAACATCATTGAACTTCGTGCATCAGGAAGCAAACAAGGTAGCTCATAGGCTAGCTCGTGCTGGCTTGGGTGT